GGTGGGCCGGGGCGAGGGTCGTGTGAAGGGCTGAGTGAGGCGGGGCGGAGCTCGGACTTGGGGCTGGGAGCTGGGAACTACCTGGGTGCGAAGGGAAGACATTAGGGCTGCACCCGAGGAGGGCTCCAAGGCCCCGAGGGGCAAAGGGCTTGGCGGTGGGTCGAGTCCAGGACCTGAGCGGGGGGAGGGGTTTAGGTCGTGAGAAAAGAGCGAATAATTAAGTTAATGTAAAGAAAATAGTTCTGCCTGGATTAGGACAATGAGAGGGGTTTGGGTGTGGAAAAAAGAGGTATTAGCAAATGGGATATTCCCAAAGAGCAGGTTTAGAGGTAAGGGAGAAATCCAGGTGTGGGGGTTAGGGTTAAATGAATGTGAAGAGGATTTAGACCGATTTGAAGAGAGAGATTTGGGTAACTTTGGAGTAAGTGGAGGAGAGGGCTTTCTATGCAAAGAAGAAGGGGTTATATAACGTGAAAAATGGTGTCTGGGTATGCTGAGAATGGGCTGGGGAAAGGTGTTCCTTTTTAAAAGTACGGGGAGTTAGATCAAGGTGAAGAGTGGGGTCTGAGTGTTCCTGGAATGAGAGATGTTAGGTTGATAAGTTGGAGGTTTGGGCCTCCCCAGAGGAATAGGCTGGTGAGAGTGGTCTGGCTGTGAGGAAGCGGGGCCTGGTTATCTTGTGGGTTAGAGTGGTGGGGATCTTGCATGAGAAGAAGAGAGGGTCTGGGTGTCCCTAAAGGGGATTTGGCCAGTAAGAGGGCGGTGTGTGAGAGGGGTTTCACTCTCTTGGAGTGGGTTACAGCATGTGAAGAATCTTTTATAAAGAAGAAGTTGATATGAAGAGGGGGCCTGGGCATCCCTGGAATGGGTTAGGGTGGGGTTTGGTGTTTTTGCTAAGAAGAGGGCCTTAGGTTGATGGGAATAAGTTTGGACATCCCTATTGTGGGTTAGACTGGGAAGGGGGTCTTTTTGCAAAGAGAAGAAGGTTATGTTAATAACGGTGGGGGGTGATCTGGATATCCTTGGAATGGTTTAGGGTGTGTGAAGAAAGGTTTAAGTCGGTGGGAAGAAGAGATTTGGGTATCTCTGGAATGGGTTAGGGTGTTGGGAGCAGGGTTTGTGTTTGAAGAAGAGGCGTTTAAGTGTATGTGAAGAGGGGGTCTGGGTATCCCAGAGGGGATTAAAATTGTAGGTGAGGTCTGTGTGCAAAGAATGGGGTGATTAAATTAATGTGAAGAGGGTTTTGGTACTCTTGGAGAGGGAGTGAGGGTGGGGGGGAAGGGTGTAGGTGTGAAGAAAGGGCTAGGCTTTTGTAAAGCCGGGTCTTGGTATTCTGGAGAGAGGGGGCAAGGGTGGTGGGAGAGGGCCTTGATTTGTAGAGGGGTTTAAGTCATTGTAAAGAGGGGATCTGGGTACCACGGGGAAGTGGTTAAGGTGGGGAAAGCCTGGGTGTGTAGATGGGCTGGGTCAACGTGAGTGGGTAGCAGGAGAGAGGCTTGTCCGTGTGAGGGTGCTGGAAGTGGAGTGGCAGGACGATAGGCCAGTTGGAGTGGTCTGGGTGGAAAAAGAGGTCTGAGAGGCAGCAAGATCTAGGTGAGAGAACTCTCCTGGGTACTTTGAAGAAGGGAGTGACATAGTGTGAGTCCATACAGAGATGAGTCAGTGGAAAGCGGTCTGAGTGGAGAGGAGACAAGTTCCTGTGTGGGAGGTAGGGTTATGGGGCCACCTGTGAGGTGCAGGAGTATAGGGGGATTGGACAGATTACAAGGATCTGGTGGGTGGAGTTTGATGTGAGTTGATTCAGAGGTGAGACTTGGGGTGGATTCACTGGGAAGGTTTTGTGTTTTCGTTTTGTGTGTTCAAGAGAGGAAGGATTGTTACGGAGGGCGGTGGGAGTGGGAAAATTGAAGCAAGAAGTTAGAGGGGGGGAAATAAATCTAAGGATTTGGGAGGAGGGTGTGGACAAAGGAAAGAACTATCCCTGGAAGGACTGAGGAAACACTGGCTTCGCTGTGATTTGCTCCAACCTCTCTCCTTTTACCAGCCCAGGGCCTTGCTGCCGCCATGACAGAGGAGTCAGAGGAGACGGTCCTGTACATTGAGCACCGCTATGTCTGCTCTGAGTGCAACCAGCTCTACGGATCCCTGGAGGAGGTGCTCATGCACCAGAACTCCCATGTGCCCCAGCAGCACTTTGAGCTGGTGGGCGTGGCTGACCCTGGAGTCACTGTGGCCACAGAGGCAGTTTCGGGCACAGGCCTCTATCAGACCCTCGTTCAGGAGAGTCAGTACCAGTGCCTGGAGTGCGGACAGCTCCTGATGTCACCCAGCCAGCTCCTGGAGCACCAGGAGCTGCACCTGAAGATGATGGTGCCTCAGGAGGCAGTGCCGGCCGAGCCGCCTCCCAAGCTGCCTGCCCTGAGCTCCAGCACCATCCACTATGAGTGTGTGGACTGCAAGGCTCTCTTCGCCAGCCAGGAGCTCTGGCTGAGCCACCGGCAGACACACCTCCGGGCCACACCCACCAAGCCTCCGTCCCCAGTTGTCTTAGGGCCCCCTGTGGGCCAGGCCCGTGTGGCTGTGGAGCACTCCTACCGCAAGGCAGAAGAGGGTGGGGAAGGGGCAGCTGTTCCCTCTGCTGCTGCCACCACCACTGAGGTGGTGACCGAGGTGGAGCTGCTCCTCTACAAATGCTCTGAGTGCTCCCAGCTCTTCCAGCTACCAGCCGACTTCCTGGAGCACCAGGCTACACACTTTCCCGCCCCCGCCCCAGAGTCTGAGGAGCCTGCCTTACAGCAAGAGACCCTGGCCCCGTCACCTGCAGAGGTGCCTGCGTCTCAGCCGGATCCCCTGCCGGCCTCTGACCACAGTTACGAGCTGCGCAACGGTGAAGCCATTGGGCATGATCGCCGGGGGCGCAGGACCCGAAGGAGCAACAGTGGAGAGCCAAGCGGGGCAGCCACCCAGGAGCTCTTTTGCTCAGTCTGTGACCAGCTCTTTCTCTCCCCCCACCAACTGCAGCAGCACCTGCGGAGTCACCGGGAGGGGGTCTTTAAGTGCCCCCTGTGCAGCCGTGTCTTCCCCAGCCCTTCCAGTCTGGACCAGCACCTTGGAGACCACAGCAGCGAGTCCCACTTCCTGTGTGTGGACTGTGGCCTGGCCTTCGGCACAGAGGCCCTCCTCCTTGCCCACCGGCGAGCCCACACCCCAAACCCATTGCATTCGTGTCCGTGTGGAAAGACCTTTGTCAATCTCACCAAGTTCCTTTATCACCGGCGTACCCATGGGGCAGGAGGTGTCCCTTTGCCCACGACACCGGTCCCACCAGAGGAGCCTGTCATTGGTTTCCCTGAGCCAGCCCCAGCAGAGACTGGAGAGCCAGAGGCCCCAGAACCCCCCGTGTCTGAGGAGAGCTCAGCAGGTCCTGCCATCCCGGGCACCTACCGCTGCCTCCTGTGTAGCCGCGAGTTTGGCAAGGCACTGCAGCTGACCCGGCACCAGCGTTTCGTGCACCGCCTGGAGCGGCGCCACAAGTGCGGCATTTGTGGGAAGATGTTCAAGAAGAAGTCTCACGTGCGAAACCACCTACGCACACACACGGGCGAGCGGCCCTTCTCCTGCCCGGACTGCTCCAAGCCCTTCAACTCGCCTGCCAACCTGGCCCGCCACCGGCTCACCCACACCGGGGAGCGGCCCTACCATTGTGGGGACTGTGGCAAGGCCTTCACGCAAAGCTCCACACTAAGGCAGCACCGCCTGGTGCACGCCCAGCACTTCCCCTACCGCTGCCAGGAATGTGGGGTGCGCTTTCACCGCCCCTACCGCCTGCTCATGCACCGCTACCACCACACGGGCGAGTACCCCTACAAGTGTCGTGAGTGCCCCCGCTCCTTCTTGCTGCGCCGGCTGCTGGAGGTGCACCAGCTGGTGGCCCATGCTGGGCGCCAGCCCTACCGCTGCTCATCCTGTGGGGCTGCCTTCCCCTCCTCACTGCGGCTCCGGGAGCACCGCTGTGCAGCTGCTGCTGCCCAGGCCCCACGGCGCTTCGAGTGTGGCACCTGTGGCAAGAAGGTGGGCTCGGCGGCTCGGCTGCAGGCACATGAGGCGGCCCACGCGGCAGCCGGGCCTGGAGAGGTCCTAGCTAAGGAGCCCCCGGCCCCTCGGGCCCCACGGGCCACTCGCACACCAGTCACCTCCCCAGCAGCTCTCGGAGGCGCTGCCACCGCAGCCCCTTCGGCCCCTGCCCGACGCCGGGGTCTGGAGTGCAGCGAGTGTAAGAAGCTGTTCAGCACAGAGACGTCGCTGCAGGTGCACCGACGCATCCACACAGGCGAGCGGCCGTACCCGTGTCCAGACTGTGGCAAGGCCTTCCGTCAGAGCACCCATCTGAAGGACCACCGGCGCCTGCACACAGGCGAGCGGCCCTTTGCCTGCGAGGTGTGTGGCAAAGCCTTTGCCATTTCTATGCGCCTGGCAGAACACCGCCGTATCCACACGGGCGAGCGGCCCTACTCCTGTCCCGACTGCGGCAAGAGCTACCGCTCCTTCTCCAACCTCTGGAAGCACCGCAAAACCCACCAGCAGCAGCATCAGGCAGCCGTGCGGCAGCAGCTGGCGGAGGCTGAGGCCGCCGTGGGCCTGGCCGTAATGGAGACTGCAGTGGAGGCACTGCCCCTGGTGGAGGCCATTGAAATCTACCCGCTGGCAGAGGCCGAGGGTGTCCAGATCAGTGGCTGACGCGGACTCTTTTTCCCTCTTCAGCACCACTGTGCCCTGTTGCTGAAGATCCTTCTCCAGTGCCCCTTTAAATGTCTGTACATAGTGTGCCCGGTCCCTGTCCTGTCTCACCCACCATGTAGTAAGTTCTGTAACTGGATCTATTCTCTCGGGGATGCTCTGGGGTCCTTGACATGCATAAAGGTGCCCCTGCTCCCCACCTTCCACCTGTTAGCGCTGGTGGCCCCAGGTTGAAACAGTCAATAAAGAATTAGTTGGACATTGATGTGCTTTTGCCAGGCCCTTTTGTGTGGGGTGGAATTCCAGAGCCGTAAGGCCAGGTAGTGCATCTGACTTTTCACAGCTGTGTTCCCAGTGCCTAGAACCAGGCCTGGCAAATAGTAGGAGCTCACTGACCCTTTGCTGAGTTAACATCCTGTGGGCATGGCTCTCACCTGGGAGAGACTTCAGTCTGGTGCTAGATGAAGGCAGCATGGCTCCTTTGCCACTAGAGGTCTCCATAGCCCCACAGAAAAGCTTGACGCAATTTTTGCTGGCGTCAGAAACGTTTGGAGAACTCTTGTAAGATTCTTCTCACCACCCCTGTTCCCCCACTTCCTGGCCCGATGTAGGTTGTGCCTGCCAAGACCATGTGGTTTTCTCACTGGATCTCTGAGGGCAAATGGATGGTGGGGAACGGTCATGATCTCTGGGGCATCAGAGAGTGGTGGTTCCTTGGATCAGACCCAGCTGTGGAGTTGGAGAAGCTCCTGAATAATGTATGGATAGAGTAGGAAGCTTCACGAAGGGAGGTGCCTGGAAGCCCACCTGGAGTTGGGCTTTGGCTCGGCTGCCAGATGTTTTTGCGCGGGAGGAGTGTTACAGTAGCCAGTGTGTGAAGGTCTAGTTTGTGTCGAGTGCCTTCCTGTGTTATTTTGTATAACCTTCACACTGACCCCTGTGAGGAGAAGATCTTGTAGGGAAGGAAATCTGAAGTCTAAAGCGATGAGGTGACACATAAGGTCACTCAACCCAGACAGGATAAAGTTTGAATTTAAGCCTGGTTTTATCTGGCTTAGTCACCATGATGCTTGCTGCTTCACCTTCTGCCTTCAGATAACTTGCGGGGGAGGGGAGAGTTGGTAGAGAAAGGAGACAGTATATGACTGGTGGGAATGCGTAGTTGCTATGCTAGTCTTTAAGACCCATAACCAAAACGCCAGGTGCCATTGAGTCAACTCATCAACTCCGACTCAGGGCTGCCCCATGTGTATCAGAGTAGAACTGTGCTCCATAGGGGTTTCAAGGGCTAAGACCCACACCCAGAGAAAAATAAGCATGCCCCCTCCCATGACTCCAGATCCTTTTGTTGGGAAGAATTCTTATTTGGAAATCCAGTAGATTAGAGCTAAAAGGGAAACCATTTGCACTGAAACGAGGGAGAAGTGAGGCCTAAAGACCTGCCCACTCATCCACTCTTTACTCTCAGCAGCAGCCCTATGGCCCTCTGTGATCCCTAGTGCTCAAAGAAATGGTTTGAAAAATCACTGATTTAGCTACTGATCAGATGAGAAAATGAGCGTTCATGGAGGATAGAGACCTCCCAAAGTCACACAGGTCGTAGAACCAGGGCTAGAAATCAGATTTCCTAACTCTTATTAATACAGAGGTTTTTTTTTTAATTACTAAATTATGCTCATTTTAAGGAGCCCTTGATGCCGCAGTGGTTAAGCACTTGGCTGCTAACTGAAAGGTCAGCAGTTCAAACCTACCATCCATTCCGCAGGAGAAAGATGTGGCACTCTGCTTTCACAAACATCACAGCCTTGGAAACCCTATGGGGCAGTTCTGCTCTGTCCCGTAGGGTCACTATGAGTCAGAATTGGACGGTAACGGGGTTTTGGTATGCTTATTTTAATCATTTTTTAAAACAAAAAAGTATGCACCCATTTGATAGGATGTCTTCACAGCTCGTAATGAAGAGAAAGCATCTATTAACCAGTTGTTCCTGATGCAGGTGTGTTGATCTTGGGCACCATCTTTCAGTAACCTCATACCTTGCAGAATAGACTTGAGCCATCTTAGCCCAGCACGCCAAAAACGAACAAACCCGTTGACCATTGTCTTTGATTCCAATTCATGGCGACCCTGTTTACAAAGTAGAACTGCTTATAGGGTTTTTTGGGGCTGTAATATTTATGGAAGCAGATCATCAGGCCATTCTTCCGTGGCACCACTGGGTGGGTTCAAACAGTCAGCTTTTCAGTTAGTAGTGCAGCTCCAACCATTTGTACCACCCAGGGACCTTTGCCCAGCATGCCAGACCCCTTTGATTCCCAGATAAGGATCATTCCTGAACTATGCCCACTCAAGAGCTAGAACATTCTAAAAGTTGTATCTAATAAGTGCTCAGAACATTTGGAGGATACATCCTTGTAAAACAAGATAAAAATCAGACTGAATCAAGAAAAGGGACAGGAATGGAGAGAGGAGGGTGCTGGCTGGCCACAAGATAAAGATGCCTTAAGCAGAGAAGGATGGCTCTATGGCAGTGGGTGATCATCCTTCCCCGTTTGTGGTTCTTTTCTTGGAGCGTCTAATGAAAGCTTTGCACTTCCACTCTAAGAAAGGTTTCTGTGCACAAACATTTACAAACAAGTTCAGGGGGTTCATTTATTATTCACCATCACCCTCCTAAACTTCTGTGATCCTCAGTTAAAGAACCATCGTCCTCAGAAAAGATGGCGCCAGCTAAACCCTGGTTGGATGCTGGTCCTTCTGTTGTACAAGCAAAGGTTCCTAAGCTATAATGTGTGTTAGGATCACCCGTTAAAGACAATTCCCCCAGAGATTTGGATTCAGTAAGCAGATCTGAGGCGAGACCCAGGAATGTGCACTTGGAATGCATGCCAAGTAATTCTGATAAAGGTGGTTTGCAGACTCTTCTGAGAGGCTCGCACTGCCTGTTTTTAGTTGGATATGGAAGTTACACAAGCAAAACTGTCCAGGGCACAGAACAGTGGTCCTCTGATGCCCAGTGTGTTTTTGACAAGAGGAGGCCTCAGTGTGGCTACACCTCAGAGAATGCGGAGCAGTTGGACACATTCACTGGGGTGGAGGTGGATGCTTCAAGACAGTGAGCTGGAGTGCTCTGAGAGGTGGGCTGGCTGTCCACTTGTAAAGGATGGCCTGGAAGAGAAGGAAACTTTGGGTCTGGTTTTGACGGTACCAGCCTGAAGGCAGGGGGCTGAACCAAATGACCTTCCTGGAGTTACCATTCTAAACCTCCATCCCAACATCCCACTCCCCCCATCCCTACTGACTTGAGCGTTGAAGAGATGCTTTTTTTTTTTTTTTTTCCAATCTTGTCAAAACAATGCAGTGCCAATACTTGTTGGTTTATTAAATTATCAAGTCCCTCTCCCACTCTGTCCCTTTCTCTTGTTCCCCCACACCCCCACCCTTTGCTGTTGAATTTTCAGAATCCCAACAACTTCTCAACGCACCATTTCTGACTTTCAGTGGTGAGGTCCTGGGGGTCAGCCCATGGCCTGGCACGTGAAGCTGTCGTCCCTGCCAAATGACTTAGTCAAATGGGCATAGTAATGTGAGTGAATGAGAGTTAGTGTTGCTCTGAAAAGGGGGGGTGTACACTGTATGGAGCCCTGGTGGCGCAATGGTTAAGAGCTCGGCTGCTAACCAAAGGGTCGGCAGTTCGAATCCACCAGCCGCTCCTTGGAAACCCTATGGTGCAGTTCCACTCTGTCCTATAGGGTCGCTATGAGTCAGAATCAACTCAATGGCAATGGGTTTTTGGTACATCGTACTACCAGACAACTTCAAAATCTGGTTTTATATGGTCGTCTTTGTCCTCCAAGGAAGCATCTGGGGATGGAGGTGGGGAACTGTTTGCAGGCTTCCTGGCTTTCTCATAGTCATTCATTGAAGACAGTGTGCTGGAGATTGGTCCTAAGCACTTTCTGTAGATCATCCAGTGACTTCTTACAACCTTATGAGGCAGGTATTGTCCCTATTTTACAGATGAGGAAACAGCTCAGTAAATTTGTCCAAGGTCACATATTTATAAAATGGCAGAACTGAGATTTGAATTCAAGCCAGGGAATCAATCATGCTTCATAGAACCAACTCCACACTCTATCCCCATTCTCATGCCCAGGACGTCTTAAGCTCCGACACCTGGTTTTCTGACCGGTGAAAAAATTGTTCAGGTCTTACTCGTAAACATTTCACTATTTGAACAGAAGTAAAACCCTCCCCTCCCCAGCACATGCACACCCACCCCATACCCTGATTTCCCTACCACTATTCCCAGGACAGAGAGTCAGAAGACTGAGGAAGAGCAGGCATCATTTCTCTGTACAGTTTTTAATTTTTTATTTTTTGATGTTTGTTGTTCAGATGAATGACACACTCAAGTTACAAAAATGGGGCCTTAAAAGAAGCACATTGTACAATGAACAAGCAGATTGGGGTTAAGAACACTGAAACACTAACCCGCTACCACGAGAAGAGACGGGGACGGGGGACAGGGTGGCAAGGGAGGGACTACCAACCCGGGTCAGACAGAACTGAAAGGGGGGCCAACCTGGCGAGAATGGAAGAAAGGCAGGTCTTCTGCAGGGCCCACTCACTTTCTGGGTGCCACTTCTTGGTCTCCCTGTCCACTGCTTGCCACCCCCTCCAATCTCCCTTCACCCCGATTCTATCCTGCTCATTCAGGTGAGTAGGTGAGAGACACCCACCCCAGAAAGGGCTGAACCAATCAGATCTTTACCAGGTGGTAGGTGCAGCCCTGGATTTGGAAGGTGATGGTGGCAGCAGAGGGATAAGACGCCAGAAAGGAGCTAACGGAGAGGGCCTGACCAAAGATCAGGCCTCCGCTTTTCCCCAAAGACTCCCTGCCCTTTCCCCAGCACACCATGATCCAAAGGCCCTCTCTACAAGTTGTTGAGAGGCCCCCAGTCACCCTGCAATTATATAAATAAATAAATACTGAGCCCCTGGGCTTGGGGGACAGGTTGGGGGAGGGGAAGCAGGGACAGAGGAAAGAGGAAGGGGGAGGCAGAAGGGAGGGGTCACAGACATAGTAAATATTTGTCTCCGTTCCAGCAACACTTCCCTCTGGATTTTTCTCTCCTTTTCTGTTTGTTTAACAAGGAGCTAACATCTCAAGGACAAATACTTAAAAATATACATTTTTTTTTTCTTTCTTCTGACTTTGTCATCGTCATCTTGCTTTGGAGACTGCTGAGGTCAA